ATAAAACAGGAATCACAGGACATGAGACAGTTTTACTAACGCCGTTTCCTGGGCATGACAGCACCCCCCCTCCCCCCCTCCTTTAGGGACGGCTCCTGACGGACTTCCGCGGTTGTTGGAGTCCCTGATGAGGGCGGGGTTCATGATGAAGCTGGAATGGACCCAGGAATGATGCTCTGGCCCATAGCCCTTCCAGTCCACCAGATATTGGCGTCCCCTTCCCCGTTTGCGTACGGCCAAAAGTCGCTTCACTGGGTAGACCGGGCCCCCATCGACCATCGGTTTAATCTTCCCCACATGAAAAGTGGGATGCACCCTCAGAGACCTGGGAAGACGCAGTCGGACAGAGACAGGGTTAATTACTTTAGACACAGGAAATGGGCCCACGAACCTGGGAGCCAATTTCCGGGAGGGGACGTGGAGGGGCAAGTCCCGTGAAGATAGCCAGACTTTCTGGCAGGGCTGGTAGGTCGGAGCTGGTCGGCGTCTACGATCGGCGGCCCTCTTCATACTCTCCGCACTGCGGAGGAGGACCTTGCGGGCGGCTGCCCAGATTCGGCGGCAATGCCGGATCATGTTATGGGCGGACGGGACGACCACCTCTTTCTCGGTCTCCTGGAACACGGGCGGTTGGTAGCCAAAGACACACTGGAAGGGAGTCAACGCAGTGGCTGCCGTGGGAAGAGTATTGTGGGCATATTCGAGGTCAGGTCAGGTGTTTGCTCCAAGATGATGGGTTCTGGGATACCAGGCAACGGAGAGATGTCTCCAGTGCCTGGTTGAGGCGCTCAGCCTGGCCATTGGCCTCTGGTTGGTATCCTGACGTGAGACTGACCGTGGCCCAGATCAGCTTGCAGAATTCCTTCCAAAACCGCAATATAAATTGGGGCCACCGGTCCGACACCACGTCCTTAGGAAACCCATGGATGAGAAAAAACTTTGTTAGGCATGGTTTCGGCCGTCTCCTTGGCGGACGGCAGTTTAGGCAGGGCGATGAAATGAGCCATCTTTGAGAATCTATCCACCACTGTGAGAACAGTGGTGTTACCTCGGGAGACCTGTGACGAAATCCAGCGAGATCTCAGCCCAGGGTCGGCTGGGCACCGGAAGTGGTTGCAGCAGACCTGTCCGTACCTGGGACGAGGTCTTGTTCCTGGCACAGAGAGGGCATGCCTCCACATACTCCCGGACCTCGCGTTCCATGGAAGGCCCCCAGTACCGCTGTCTGATGGCGTACATCGTTCTCCTGATCCCTGGATGGCAAGTGAGCTTTGAGGTGTTAGCCCAGTGAATCACCTGTGGGCGCATAGCAACCGGAACAAACATTAGCACGCTTCCCCTCTGATTCTATCTGCCACGTTACCACCTACCACACGGTGCAGTGGCAGGATTGGCTCAGGTTTCATGGCAGTGGGCTCGGGGTCAAACAGACGAGACAGGGTGTCCGGCTTGGTGTTCTGGGACCCCGGCCTGTAGGACAAAACAAAGTCAAAGCGGTTAAAAAACAGAGTCCATCTGGCTTGGCGAGAATTCAAGCGTTTGGCCTTGCGGATATACTCCAGGTTCTTGTGGTCAGTCCATACAATAAACGGGTGAGCCCCCTCTAACCAATGTCTCCACTCTTCCAGTGCCAACTTTACAGCGAGCAACTCACGGTTACCGACGTCATAGTTCCGCTCCGCTGCTGAAAGTTTCCTGGACAGGAAGGCACAGGGGTGTAGTTTGTGGTCCTTTGCAGAACGCTGAGACCGGACCGCCCCCACGCTGTCGTTAGAGGCATCCACCTCCACCACAAACTGTCGACTGGGATCTGGGACTGTGAGAATGGGGGCTGTGGAAAACCTCTCCCTGAGCTGGGTGAAGGCCTCCTCAGCTTGGGGAGACCACATAAATGGAGCTTGGGGAGAGGTGAGAGCGTGAAGGGGAGCTGCTTTGGCGCTGAAGTTTCTGAAGTTAGCAAAACCCAGGAATTGCTGAACATTCTTGCGGTTATCAGGTGTAGGCCACTGAGCCACAGCGCTGACTTTGGCCGTGTCCATTTGTATCTTTCCAGGGGCTATGACGAAGCCATGGAAAGACACAAACTGGCATGAAATTCACTCTTTTCTACCTTAACAAAAAGCTGGAGAACTTGGCGGACATGGCGAACATGCGAGTCCTTGTCCGGGGAGAAAATCAAAATGTCATCCAGGTGGTTAAGAAATTCTTTAAGCACGTCATTTATCAATGCCTGGAACACCGCCGGAGCGTTGGTTAGGCCGAAAGGCATCACGAGGTACTCGTAATGGCCAGAAGGCGTGTTAAAGCCGGCTGTTCCCTCCTTCCACAAAGGCACAGGACTAAAAGAGAGAAGGAAACTAAATAAATAAACATACACACACTAACATGGCGGCAAATCACGATCAAAATTCAAGAGCACAGATCAGGTTCATGGGCGGCGTGAATCAAACATTCACGAGCAAAAGTCTGTCTCTTATGAGATATTTGCTCGCTCGTGGAACGTGAACTTGCTCGCGAGGTGAGTCTCTGCTCGCGCTCGAAGGTGTTTTCTACGCGCTCGCTGTGTCCTTTTGACAGTAAGGGGGCGGAGCCAGTCACCATGGTATCTACATCTGATTGGTTACAAACACGTCTTTGGATTGGCCCGAGTGAGGCATTCACACAACTATAGAAGCCCATTTCCGCACTGAAGAAAGGGGATAGAAAGTCGATATGATGAGAGAAAACGTGAAAACACAAACGACACCTTTATGTAACCGTAGTGGACCGAAAATGACAACCAGCTACAAGCATCATTTACCATCATTACCGGCAGCAGAGACGCCACTCAAAAGCACAAAGGTCCACTTTTCAGAGGCAAAGTGAAAAGCTGGGGATCCATAATTCTATTAGGACACATGTTCTGGAAACATTGACTGTCTCTAAAAAACGCTCATTTCACTGCATGGCTTCATCTCGTTTAAGTTACATTTTACATTTGAAAAATGATTATTCACTGTTGTGGTCTAATCGGATCACGTTTGCTCAGCAGAAAGCGCTCGTGGCTGCTTTGATTGGCTCCTTATTCTCCTCTTCCTCAACGCACACGCTGGCCACACCGAGCTGGTCCACAGCGTCCTTCCCTTAGTGATGCTAATCGCACACAAACCAACAACTTCTAACCAACTACCACGCCACTAACCCAGCACCAAATATCATATATGACGTTATATTTATACAGCTCCAGCTTTACACAGCAACCATCACGTCTGTGATTTACCACCTGAACTTATCAGCACAAAAATACCAACATGTTTAAAGGATTTTACAAGGTTTTTATTTGTTTTTGATGATTTTCTTCATGCTTAGTCTAATTATACAGTAATTAGTTTCTTTTCCACAAGCAACTGGGAGCCTTTTCTCCAAGAAGAATGAATGAAAATGATGTAAATCTCTTAAGAGTAGTCAGAGGTCAGTGTGGTATCAGACAAAATGTTTGTCTTATACAAGATCAGCTACTAAAGTTATTTTCAAATGAATCAAATCATGATTTCACCCTTATGAGAAAAGAGAAACCCTTTGAGAAGAGGGAAACCTTTCATCGATGCAAACAGCAGAAGTTTACGTCGTTACAGACGAGACCCAGTTGGAAACATCCCTCAGACCTCTGACTATCTGAGGTTCACATCATTATAAAAGAATCAAGAGAAGCTGCACAATGAAGCAACAAAAATCATCACAACTCATCAAAATAAAACGAGTTTTCAAAGGTTTTCAAAGTAAAAGACTGTAACTAATAGGAATAAAATCACATGAATCAACAACACATTTGAAGCAGAAAATCAACAACTAAATTGACTTTATGTCTAATAATAGAACAATGTTGTTAATGTATCACTAAGTCCTGACACCAGCGTAGACGGTCTCTGCTGCTGCTTCAGCGTTCTCTCTCTCTGCTCGGACTGTTTTCCTGGCGGTGAAGGTTGGTGCAGAATAAGTCAGAAGGTCTTGATCTCTCTGAGCAGATGGAAAGTATTATGAAACAGCATATTTAACAGCATATTGAAACATCAATAACATCAGTTTCTCTATGAACCCACCTGCTGACCTCGGGGGTCACAGCCGGCTGTTTGAGGAGTAACTGCATCTGTTTCATAAAAAGAAGCAGAGCTTTAGGAGGAAAGACTCTGGAAGCTTTTGAAGCAAACTGAGAAACATATTTTACCGTTGCAGCATTGACAAGTTTTCCTCTTGATAATAAACATCAGGAAGACGACAACAAGCAGACAAAAAGCCAGAGCTGCTGACAGGACGATCAGAACCGTCTCCTGCAAATCCCACATGAGGGGGGCTGAAAGAAGACCAGCAAATAATCAGAGTCTGTATAAAAACTATGACGACCCGGTGAAGTCGGGCATCACACGCACTCACTTTGTGATACAGGATCGGTATTAATGATTTATCGGTACCTTCAGTTTCCAGTGTTGTTCCTTCTCCAAGTAGCATCTGTCCACATGTGGCCGCGGCACAGTAATACGTGCCGGCGTCAGAGGAGCTGATGTTCTTAGAGAAGCTGTAGACACATCTGTGTGGAGGGGGAGCCTCAGGACTCTGCTCACATCCATCCCGGTTTCCATGGACATAAATCACATGTGGAGGAGATCTATCCGAGCCGGCTTTGAACCAGAACACCTTCTGTCCTTCTGGACATTCCGTCTCCTCAGAGACGGAGAGGACGGAACACTGCAGAGTCACTGAGTCTCCTGGACGGACGGGATCTGCTGGAGCGCTTTTAGTGATTACGGGGACATCGGCTTCTGGTCCTGGAAATGAAGACATAATAAATATGCTTTAATGAACACAAGCACTGTTCATGTATGAATAAAATGACTTTCCCATTAACTACACACCGTTTTATACATAAACTACTTGTATGAATCATTTTTACCTTTAATTATCAGAAATGTTGATTTCTTTAGTGTCACAGTGAATCTTTTTATTTCTAAACAATAGTAAACTCCAGTATCGCTCCGCTTTGCCTGATGAATGTGCAGCAGAAATGTTCCCGGCCCTTGTTTTGTTGTGATGTGAGAAATCATTTCGGTCTCATATTAGTTAAAAAGAAATGTTCCTCTAAAGAACTCAGGTACGTTTCCAGAAACCAGCCTCATCCAGAACAAGGTTCCACCAGTCAGAGAGACGTTACGAGGACAAGTCAGAGACACACTTTGTCCAACAGGCTTTGTCTCAAAGATCAGATCGTCTGTGCATCCTGAAATCAGAGAACTCGGTTCAGTGATTGATGACAGAAAGAATCAGGAATGTGAGGTACCAACGTTTATCTGAAGTAACTGAGTCAGTTCAACGTGTACTTACGCCCCGCTCGGAGAACCAGGAGTAAATAAAATAGGATCATCTTCTTCTTCTTCTGCCACTTGAGACTAAAGTTGAATTAAATCATTTGACAGGATGATGTGGCTTAATGTGATCACAGCAGGGGGGCGGGATCAGCCGCACAGCGTTCTGATTGGCCTGTCATTGTTTTCTGATCCGTACGAAACAACACCAGCAGCACCCGTTTGTTTCATGGTGGCTTTCTGCACAGTAAATACAAGACGTTTGATGGGATACTGAAGTGAGACAACCTGATGATCAAATGTGCTTTCAACTGTAAACTAGACTGCAGGTGTACATTTCGTGATTGATGGGGTGAGATATCATCACTGTCCTCCTGATGAAGGTGGAGTAAAAGTTAGGACGTCCTGATTAGTTCCTACACACAGTCGAGCTGCAGAAACACTAGATGCTACGTTTCCTTCAGCGCCACTCAAACGTCTCTGTCCTTAAAGCTTAAAGTATCTCAAAGGGCACCGTGCTGCGTTAGAGACACGTCCATGTTGGTGTTTTAGCTCACACATCTAAGGATTGTAGTATTTATATCTTAAAAGTGAAAGACACAGCTGCTTAGTCACTCGCACGTCCAGTTTTTAGATTCCCAGTGTGTGTGTGTGTGTGTGTGTGTGTGTGTTGTGCGTCTGTCTGGATTCTATCACAACCGAACATTCTTTACATTACAGCCTCCGTGCAGCTTAAGAGGCTTCGTAACAATAGATTTTATAACATGTGACATTTGATCTCTGTCCTCCTGCGTCGTCATATCTCATGTGATGTCTCGCTCTCTGCTTCTTAAACAGGAAAGAATTGATGTGTTCTGTTTGTGTGCAGAGAAGAAGCATTCGGTCAATTGCAGGAGGAAGAGGAGACATACAGGAGACATACAGGAGACATAGAGGAGACAGACAGGAGACATAGAGGAGCCATACAGGAGACAAAGAGGACACATAGAGGAGCCATACAGGAGACAAAGAGGACACATAGAGGAGCCATACAGGAGACAAAGAGGAGCCATCTTGTGGCACATTGTTCACGCGTTGTACCTTCACAGCCTTGTTTAATGGTGCAGTGACAGACTGGAGGACAAAACAAGCAAACATGCATGTGTGGCGTGTTAAGATGCATCATGCACACGGTTGCAGGCGGTTGCATTAGAGACATGAAGGATGGACAGTTTCTCTGCTGTAAATGAACCAATCAGCCTGCTGTCGCTCCGTGTAGCTCCTCCCTCTCCACGCGTCCTGTAGAAAGGTGCGTTGTTTACTGTCCTTCTCTTTCTGCTTTTGCTGTCGTTATTTCTGCTGTTTGTGACGTTTGTGTGTTAATTCTTCCACAAAAGGTTTAGATTGATCATCGCTAATCTTTTGTCTCTATAACCTGTAATGTGTGTGTGTGTGTGTGTGTGTGTGTACATGTGTGTGTGTGTAGATGAAGGTTATTAACGCCACTCACAAACAAATGACGCGTGGAAAGTTGAGCGTTGTGGTTTAAGTGTGAAAATAAGGTGTCAATCACTTCCTGTGATTCTCAGCATTTAGTCTTAGTGACGGGGGGACGGGGGACGGGGGACGGGGGGAAGTGGGGAAGTGGGGACGGGGGACGGGGGGACGGGGGACGGGGGACGGGGGAACGGGGGACGGGGGGACGGGGGACGGGGGACGGGGGGACGGGGGACGGGCGGGTCTATGAAGAGCAGTAGACACTGAGTAGTTTTACTTGAGCTGTTGGTGGTTTTATTCATTGGGAGGCTGCTGTGGAGAGACGGAGGAGAGCTACATCGATCCCTTCCAGCAGGACTCAGTGTCTCCTCAGCATGACAAATGTCTCTGCATGGAGGTCACATGCTCTGTAGAGACATTGTGACTCATGACTTGTGTCCATTGTGTTCCTTCAACATACACAATGCTACAGAGACATGAAGCTTCAGCAGCAGTTGATAGAATACGCACATTAAAGGGAGGAGGACCACAAGCTGTCTTCATCATATAAGTCCAGTTAGAAGAGAAACCCGGTTCTTCACCCCCTGACCTCACGTGGCTGGATGAGCGTCAGGACACCAGCACAATGACAGTAAAAGTCCTGCATTCAAATGGATTCCTCAAGTGTGAAACGCAGCTTATGGGCTCCGTGAACTAATAAATATTATGCTTCCACGTCAATTAATGATGCAAGATATTCAAATGAATAATATAGCATTTCATTTGAATTGTTACATTTTGACATTTCTCAGTGAGGTAAATGAAACTCATGTTTTCTTCTTGTATGAGTACTACAGTTAAGTGGAGGTATCTTTATACTTCTATGATTATGAAATACATCATAAACATCTGTAGCTGTTTGGGGACCTCAGGAGAGCGTGTTCCTCTGGGTTCGGCCCGTGGGGGTTTAGATCTGGACTCTGATGTTTGGTCTTTGCAGGTTTATCGCTGAGGAAACAAGGAAGCACCGTTTCTATTCTTCAAAAACAAAATATCACATCTGCTTTTGTAAGTAAGTTGCAATTGATTTGAATAAATACTATCGTAACATCCGAATTCAAAGGACCAATCAGATGTAAAGGATTACATTTAAATCCTTCTTAGAATTGTACATTGCTTAAATACTCACAATGAGAAGCTCAGGATGTAGAAAGTGAGGCAGAAAACAGTTTCTAGATTCAAGAGGAAATGCATTTAGTCCTTTTCAGCCAATCAGGATGATTTCTATCTGATGACCGTGTGACCAAACCTTTAAGGAGGAAGAATTCAGTTGCAGTGCAAGAGAAGAGGGGGCTTCACCACCATGATGGGAGGACTCGCTCTTCTGCTTCTTTTAGGAACACTGTGTGAGTGACACTTTACACCTGGTTATTGTTTCTATTAAACGATGTTGGACTATAAAGACAAATTAATACTTTACCTTTTTCACCTTCTTGTATCACGTGATCGATTTAATGTTGTTTCTTTTCTTTTCTTCAGACCCGATTGAAGCTGCAGAGGTTCAACAGGTCTCTTTGACGGAGGCTGAACTTGGTGGAAATGTTACGTTTCAGTGTCCAGTTTTCTGAGGAGGAAAAATATATATTCTACTGGTACAAGCAGCCTCTTGGATGTACGATCCAAACTGTTGCTACAAGAATTTATTCTCAACCAACACTTAGTCCACAATTTAACAACTCACGATTCAGAGTCACAGCAGGAGAGACTCATTCTTTGACCATCATGAATATCAGCAAAGAGGACGAAGCGACATACTTCTGTTTCTATGGATCACCATTTTCACATAGTTTTGGTGATGGCGTCTTCTTGGCTGTGAAAGGTAAAATATATTTAACTTGCAGCGTTGGCGCCACATTTGATGTCAGACAAATACTTGAGATTTGAATTCCTTTGGATGTTTCCCTGAATCGTGCAGATGGAAGTCTGCAGAAATCCTTCCACGTGGAACAAAGTCCGGAGGCTGAGTCCGTCCTGCCGGGCGACTCGGTGACCCTCCAGTGTTCTCTTGTCTCCAGGGACAAAGAGGACGGGGTCCAGTGTCCACACGGACACAGGGTGTTCTGGTTCAGATCAGGAGGATCCCATCCAGGTTTCATGTACACTCAGGATACACAACCGGGGAACACAAGTTGTGTCTATCGTCTGTCCAAAAGGATCCAGAACTCCTCTGATGCTGGGACTTACCGCTGTGCCGTGGCCTCATGCGGACAGATCCTGTTTGGTGGAGGAACCAAAGTGGACACAAGTACGTTTTAAAGTCTCCCGTCTTAAATAGGGAATCACTCAGTACGATTTAAACGTTAAAGCTGGTGAGATTTAAATGAGAAACAAGGTAGTCATTGAAATAACTGACGTGAATGAGGCGTTAAGGGTCTATTTTGACATTTCTCTCATTCCAGGTTCAAACCTGAAAGTGGTTGTCACAGTTCTTGGCGTCCTGTTGGCGTGCTGTGTGACTGTGATTATCCTCCTTATTTTCTACGTGAATCGAAGGAGAGCTGAAGGTCGGTTAACCAGATGAACACGGACTAAATGAAACATTAACTCATGCACATTGAGCCCCACCGACTGATCTCCTGAATAAGTGGTTGGCGTATTGAGCTCAGGGTCATTTAACTAAAGTTAGTAAGTAAAACGTATCACAGCAGCAGGAGAACAAAGCTCAGGTCACTGAAGACTTGGGAAGCAAGTAGTTAGTTGAGATGTTTTCAAGCTTCAATCATCAACAGCAGCGTTACGGCTACAAATCCAACACAGTCAGAGGACATCTGTCACCACGTTCTCTGTTCATCTGAGAACAAAGTCACACAGAGCTTATTATATTACATCAGATGATACACTCTAAAAAGTTTCACCGTAAATTAACGGTATTTTACAGGCAGCAAGGACGCCAGGAATTTACCGTTATTTTACAGCATAGTACTGTAAACGGTTTTTACACTATGTTACCGTAAAATGGATTACTGTATGTTACCGTAAACTTTAACCAAATTTACTGTGATTTAACTGCATTTTACTGGCAGTCGACGCTAGTAACTTACTGTTTTATTTTACAGTGCCCTCCCGTAATATACGGTATGTTGTCATAGATTGGATTACAGTTTGTAACCATACGATTACTGTTTTTGTGTTATAAATACCAGAATGTTACCGTTTACTTATAACCGTATACTTTTGCATTTAATTCCCCACAAATTGAAGAAAGACAACCAAATCATTTCGGTCATAGTGGTTGGAGTTTATTAGAAGCCTTTGAGACAAAAATGTTAGGCATTTGTAACCAAGAACAAAACATAAAATATGCCGCATGTATACAATAATAAAATAATCATTAGGAACAAGGTAAACTAACTGAAACAATACGCTATGGAACACTTTCAATTGACCGCAGCAAACGGCTGGCGTCCTTAATCCAGTGCCTCTCTAAAACAAACCAAAATAAAATATTTAGAAACACTGTCATTGGTGGGCGGCACGGTGGCGTGGTGGTTAGCACTGTCGCCTCACAGCAAGAAGGTCCTGGGTTCAACTCTGCCCAGTGGCCTTTCTGTGTGGAGTCTGCATGTTCTCCCCGTGTCTGCGTGGGTTCTCTCCGGGTTCTCCGGCTTCCTCCCACAGTCCAAAGACATGCTCTGGGGATCAGGGTGATTGGGGATTTAAAATTGACTGTAGATGTGTGAATGTGAGTGTGAATGGTTGTGTGTCTCTGTGTTGGCCCTGTGATTGGCTGGCTAGATGTACCCTGTCTATCGCCTGGCAAGACACCTAACCCCTAATTGCTCCCCGGGCAAAAATGTGAAAAAGCCATGTGTTTAAAGTGTACTGTAAGTCGCTTTGGATAAAAGCTGGCTGGGATGGAAATTTAACTGTCTGTTACAGTTATTATGACATACTGTAAGATACCGTTAGAAATGCATCGTAAATTTACAGCAATTTGTTACAGTGTATGTTACTGCATTCTAGCAGTGGTTCAGGATACATCAATATATAGATATATCTACAGTATATATATATATATAGTGGTTGAGTCAACGTGTAACTGTAAAGCGACTGAAAATGATTAAAACAACGATCACAATAAATGACGCACTTCTTTGTCCTTTTGTATTCAGCAGAAGCAACAAGCGGCGCCTGTAATCCTGCTCAATCCCAGCGGACAGCGGATCAATCAGCTGACCAGGTAAATATGTTCATTACCTTCATGCTCAGCGCCAGAGACTTAGAACATTATTCTGATTCATTAAAAAATACTCATATATAGCTAATGATAACCTCTATATATGCATCGTGATGGTAACCTGTATATTTTAGACTTTACCTCTAAAGTCTGTTACTAATGGATGTTATTATTTGCAGGGCGGAGACGGAGAAGTAAGTAATTATGCGGCACTGAATCTTTCCACAAGACGTGAAGTGAAAAGAGTGAAGAAAAGAGCTTCTTCACAGGAGTGTGTGTACTCCGCTGTGCGAGTGAACACACAACTCCACCTGTAGAGCAGCGAGGCTTCTCAATGGACGGACTTTGTTCAGCTTTGAATGTTCAAAACAAATGAGGGGAAGTTCATATTGTCATTTGAAATGAAATGCTTCCTGTTGGTCGAGTTCTTCTTGTGAGACACGTGAGCACGCTGGAATGTGACTGGTTGTCGAGGCGGAAGGAAAAGACATCAGTGCCTGAGGAAGAAGTATGCCAGTTTTCATTTGCATGGAAGATGTCAGAGAAAAGCCTTATTTCTTCCTCAAGCAGTTACTTTCTAAATCGCTGCTTTTATTGTCTTCTTAGTGGATTAACAGTGTTATTTTATTTTAATCAGTTCTCTGTTCTTTAATTCTACTGTTTCAGATCTACATTGTTTTTTTTAAATGTTTCATCTGCTTTTTCAAACGTTCCAAGGAAATAAAGGGAATAAATACATTCGCATTATTGCACAACTTTCTTCAACCTGCCTTTTCTAGAGTCTCATAGAGGAATTAAAACATAAATAGTTTTAAAAATTACCAATTTGTTTCACCAGAAGGGAAAGCAGATTTCCTTCCTCCTTCTAGCGCCTCTAACCTGCTCTACTAAACTACTAACAAAGTGAAACTGAAGAACGATTGTTACCTTCTACGTCCAGTTGTTCTCCAGCTCCAAACACGAAGAGGCCACAGCACCAGAATGAGTCCCAGGATAAGTAGAGCTTGGTGTTTTGGATCCCGACCCGAGCTGTTTGCAGATCTGAGGGGCAGGTGGAGGTTTGGGGAGTCAGTAGTTCTTGCAGATAGGGAGGTGCATGTCCATTTATGCATTTATGAGTGAGTAGTAGAACTTTGTAGTCGATCCGGAAAGAGACAGTGTAGTGAGTGTGACGGGTGTTGTGCGTTGTTTTGGATGTATTGTAGTTTCAGGATATTCCTGCCAGTGATTCCAGTTTAAAGAGAATTATTGGTTTGGTCATTGAAGGTCACGTGAGGGTCAAACCTCCCGGATTGGTAACTGGAGGTCGGGTATGACCTGACTGTCAAAGGTGAGTTGGTGTTGCACCAGATTCATGTTCATCTGAATGAACGGACAACAGAGAGTGAATATTTGAGAGTGAACTTAATTCATATGAATAATGTATTAGGACAAAGTATGTACGGATATACTTTCATGTGCACATATTGGCTTCTGAAAGCAGTTGGTTGGTTGGTCTTACACCACATGTTCATGTCATACACACATGGGCACAATGAATCTCACTCTGATTTGGAGTAAAAACCGACGTTGCGGTCGAGGACCATGAAGGTCTGCACGAGATCTCTTCACATTCCATCACAGTGGTTGAGATGATTTGGACTAAGCTTCACGCGTTTTGGTACGAGGGGGAAGTAGCTGTTCTCAAACGTGTGGTTGCTCCTCAGGCCACTTTCAGGAAGGAAATGGGTGCGTCTCTGACACGGGAAATGAGCAAAAGAAACACAAACTCTTAATGTACCAATTTAGCATCTTCTCCAACGGTCTTTGTCCAGAGCTCTGGGGGTCAGTGCGTCCTCTGGAAACCAAAGGCAAAGTGACCCTAAAAGCAGGAACATGTTTGAACAGAAGCGAAAGTTGATTCTGTGCAGATTCTTACGTGGAACACGGAAGCCACGCAAAATAAGACCAGCATTAAAATGGTTAATCCATTTAAAATGGCCCTTCATGTAGAAGGTGCTGCAGGTAGAATGGTCCTAACGTCTCTATCAAATGAAAGGGAACATTCATCAGTCGGGCCTCAAGCGGAGATGCTTGTCTTCAACCGAAACACGCGATTCACGGCTGGAGTGTGGTTTGAAAACCGTTTGAGTCCTAAATATAACCTCGACCCAGATACGGACTGACGTCAAACTGGAGTGTCGCGATGCGCAGCGACCGACCTTTGTGGTGAACCTCTGCTGTGGTAGTTCCATGCACATCGAACCTCCAGCATCCTGTGCAGAGCTGGTCAGGTTGGTTCAGTCTTCTGGGTGTTTGCTCAGCTCGCCGCCGGGGACGAACGTTCTGTGTGAATAAACACAAACAGAGTTTACTGAGTGAAGACGGCACGTGTTCATTGAGCATAAATCAGTGTTACACCTTCGGTGGAGCGCTGACCTCCGTCACGGAGCTGCACAATGAAGCAGGTGGAAACTGAAGAGTCTTTGTTTAGGTTCCTGGTTCCTTTACGTGAGAACCCTCCCTCACATTGTCAATAATCATTAATGGCATCGACTAATGTTGAAACCAAGAGCGTCTGTCTGCCACGTCCTCGCTGTGACACCACGACCTGCTGTGAGATCCCTTCCACAGTTTATCATCAGATCCGTCGTCCATCCGGACCGTTTTCAGCAGAATGTCTGTGTGTTCGGCAGCTCACTGCCTTTTCATTTTGATTGTGGCTGAATACAAGTAATACTTCAGACGAGTGACAGCGTGCACTTCAACTCCCATTGGGACATCAAAAATATAAACTTACTTAAACTCACTTAATTAAAGTGTCAATCAAACACCTTTCTACGTTCTGCAGAAACAGGAAGCAGCTCTCGTCTCTTCTCTCTGGACGCTGCTGCCACCTGCGGGGACAAAGTCAACGGATCAGAAACTAAAGAATAAATCTCCATATATGTGTTGATATGCGTCAGTCATCCCTTTGGTGAAGACTGTTCCACACGCATGTGATTATCCTGCTTTTGGTGTTTAGGAGTTCAAATGTTCGTTAAAAGTTTAATATTTGTCATTTATTGGTTCTGTGTCCACATGAACACCAGCTTCCAACAACCTGAATATATATATATATATATATATATATATATATATATATATATACCTCTATACTGCTGCATGATGTTGCACATGTAATGAATTCCAGACACAGACATGGACGATTACTGTAGTTTCAATTGTAGTTTAATTTGAACATTTGACATAAGAATCAATTATCATCACTCAAATTTTCATGTTTTTTTCAACCTCAGACCTGGAAAATGAAAATGAGTAAAAGGATTATTTCCTTTGTGGTAAAACTAATAACAAAGGCGTCTGACTCTGTTCCCAATGAAGAGGTAAAGCTTTAGGAGACGAGAGGAGGAACACGCAGGACGAGGAAACACAACGGATCACAGAAAGGGGGAAAAAAGAGAGAAGAGGAAAGGAAAGAAGGGAGGAGGATCTAAACCAAGGAAGAGAAGATTTGTTAATCCGTGACTTTGTACTAATACGTCTGAAACTGAATCAACTGTGAGGAGTGTGAGGACACTTTGCACGTGTAGACAAAGCCACAATGTGTAAAGTAGACAATACAGTAGTAGTTACATTAGTACTTAGTCTCTAGGGTCTACTCTTGTTGACTTGTTGCAGGTTTGCTGTGATCAGACGCTCTGTGTTCTTACGTCAGTATAGAAATTTAGACTCATCAAAAAGCTGCAGCTTGAACACTTTTCAACTACATTTCAAGATGTTATCACGTGACACACAAATGATGGAGGCGTCTCTGTTTATTGTTAGCATCACTTCCTTTGGAAAGGCCCCCACATCATTCAGATCGTGTTGTCATGGAGACGTCCAACATTCAGTAGCACTGGTTGACAATATTGCAGCAACATTTTTGGATTTGAAAAGAAGTACAGGAAGGCACTTGAAGTTGGATGAATCCACAGTTCTTATTGGTTAAATACATTTGACTTTGGCATGAAATGATCTTCCTGCCCGGTGAAACAATTAGATGCTGAAGCTGAAACCAGCAGAACGTTTGTTGCTGGTGTTTTTTTAACTGCTGCAGTGATGGAGAAACCCCCCCGGGTGCACAGGGACACCGCTGCTGGGGGGGAAACGGGTTCAAGAGAGGAACCTTCTGACCACAAACAACTACACCCGTCAGCTTCACCTGACAGCTTCACCCACAGGAAGCAGGGCATCAACTCTCTGATCTGGGGGGGGGGGGGTTTGGGTTAAAAACGGCTTTGTATCTTATAGCTTATAAACCTCCCTCCATGCTGAGGGGAATAAGTCGATGCTACAATCAAAGTATGTTTCTTTCGTGTTCTTATTTGTGTGAGAATTCCTCTCTTATGTTTCATCTTAATGAATAGAAAACGTCTTCATTTCGAACCCAAGTGGCTGAAAGAACGATGTGATGTTCATGTCTGTGGAAAGAGTCCTTCTCCCATGAGGGTGGGGTCCATTGAAGCACATACAGTTCTTCTCTCTGGGGGGGGTCTCTCCTCTCCGTGTCCTGGGCCTCCCACATTATCATGCAAATACACTTTGAAAATATAGAATTCGTTGGGTTAGGGTATATATTTATATAGATTTATACAAACATATAAATTCATATACTTTTAAGGAATGTTAATCTATTTTGCTGTGTATGCTTCCTCCTTATATAGTAAAAAACAACCTTCCATACTATGTAACACATTATATCATCAACACATTCAAAAGACAAAACTTATCAGTCCTTTCATCATCTTTTAGAAAAAAAAATCCATAATAAAAATAAGTTCTATGTTTTCTCTCACTTATATCTTACAATATATTTCTCTGTCATAAAACACACACACGCACACACACACACACACACACGCAAGTCCCATTTTCCGTTTGTGGTTTTTATCTCGGCGGCAAGCGGTGAAAGTGAGCGTGTAAGGAGAAGAATCACATAACGATGGTGCTCCTCCACGTGGGAGGAGCTCAGAGCGACAGCGTTGTAGACGATTCACAGAATGTCAAAGCGGCGCGGCGGCGTTACAACGCGCACGCGGAGCAGCCGCACTCCACGGGCGTCTCCATCTCCTCGGAGTACGTCGTGCCGTTGGTGCAGCGGAACACCGCCTTCCTCCTCCGGCTCTTGGTCACCCCGCAGCAGAAGCCCGGGGGGGCCGCGGCCTGGCAGGACCGGGGACAGTCCACGCGGGCGATCTTGGCCGTGGACGTGCACGTCGTCATCGGGTGGTGGCGCCTCAGCGGCTCCCTCACCATCTCTCCCTGACACGAGAGCTCTGGACGCGGAGAGGAGACGCAAGCGTTACGTGCTGACAGAGGTCACGACCTCCCCCCCACGCCCCCCGCCCCCGCCCTCGTACGTTCCATCTTACCTGCGTCGCAGGTGGGCCCGGCGTACCCCGGCTGGCAGTGGCAGACGGGCTCTCCGGCCTCGGAGACGCGGCATTCCCCGTGCGTGCAGCGCGGCGCCCGGCAGGGGGGGGGCTCCTGCCGCCGGTCGCAGTACTGCCCCTGGTAGCCTTCGCTGCACTGGCAGCTGTAGGACTGTCCCTTCGGCACGCACTGCCCGTGGACACATCTGGAGTGAGACGAACGGAGGGGGGAGGGTGGTGCGTTATGTCGGGGGGGGGCGATGTCATTGGTGCACCGCCGTCTCCGCCGGCTCGGCCTACCTGCTGTCGTGACAGGCGCGCGGTGCCGTCGTCTGGTCGCACAGGGCGCCGCTGCGTCCCGGGGGACAGTCGCACGTCACCCCCGTCTCGCCCCCCTCCCTGCACGCTCCCTGAGCGCACACGCTGCAGGAATGGCAGCCTGCGAGGACGCCCTCGGCCTGGTGGGGGGGGGAGAAGCACTGTGAGAGGTGTTTGCTCCTTCTCGCTCCTCTAGGAGACACACTTGAGGTCAAACATTCCGGCCTGCACAGCTGGATTAGAGCCCGATGTGCTGACCTTCCCCTCCAGCCCCCGCGGTCGGGCTGCTCCTGCGGCCCTGTAGCTCAGGTCTTGAGGCTCCCCGTTTATTCGGACGTTGTGGATGCATCCGTTAAAGGCCTGAGGGGAACGATCCGGGCCGGGACGCAGACCCGAGGCCACCACCTCCGACGGGACTCCTGGAGGAGCAGGAGGAGCAATTAGACTCATCGGACTGATCTCAGGTCCACGGTCCATCAGCTCCTCTGCACCACGTCCTTTGCTTTACAGTGTGTGTGTAGGGGGGGGGCGTACCTCCGATGTAGAGTTGGGTGTTGTGGTCCACGGAGGGCTGGCGGGCCAACTTGCCGAGGCTCTTGGGGGCCCCGTTATCCACCACCAGGCTCAAAGAACGATTCTGAATCAAAAGCTCGACAGCGTGGAAGAGTCCGTCATTCACCGACTCCACGCTGTGACACACACACACACACACACGCACACACACGCACACACACACAGAGGGATGTTCAGTATGGTTCCTATTATGATGAATTACTGTTGAATTGAACACTAGACGGGAGAATTATGGAGGAGACGCTGAACACAAAACAGACTCGACAACGTTTTTTGTTTTTGTTTTGTGGTGTTTGCAAATGGACCAAAGCCAGAGAGAAGGAGGGACGTCTGTGTCCATGTCTTACAACCAACAGCGGCTCTGCGATGTTCAAAACATTGCGTCGTGCAATCGGCCTTTAAAGAAACCTTTCACTTGCAGGTTCATTGGTTCAAACAACATAATTATCATGAAATACCAATGAAACATTCATTTAGATCACCTACACACCAGATACCATAGTTTCACTGGTGGTTGTTTGTACAATCATTCAATATTGCTGTAAAAAATAGATAATAGAGGTTCATTATTGTAGTAAATGTAAATACATCCCTGTTAAAGTACTACTGTAGTAGAAAGAATAGTACACACAGTGAAACCATTGAACAACATTGGACAGTTATGAAATACAATAAAATCACAACGTAGGTTTATTTGAATCAAAGCAGAAAAAGAGAAGCTGCAAAACATGAAAACAATGCTGCTGTTCCTCAGCCGGGAGGGAAAAGGGTTTGATTACCACACATCTACATTTTATCATCTCGTGGATCCGGCCGCAGGTTCTGATCCACGTCACAATGTTTCATTAGCCAAACATCTCGGAAATAATCTTGAGTGAGGCAACATGTAAATGATGTTAATGGTAGAAAAAGGATCTCTCACTACAAAGAGAAATACATGTTTCCACTGAAGCCTCATCATGACCTTTGGCACCGGGACTGACCCTGGAGGAACGTGTGTGTGTGTGTGTGTGTGTGTGTGTGTGTGTGTGGCTTTGGGCTGGGGGGGACAGACAGCTACAGAGACAGTGGTTTGGCTCAGCGCAGAGAGGGAGGGAGAGGGGGAGGCACAGCGGGGACGAGAGGTAGATGTTCTTCCCTAAAACCCAGAAAACCAGCGGAACATTAAAAACACAAAAGAACCAGTGAAGCAGTCTTCCTGCTTCAGGCTCCTCGACACCAAGACAACATGTCAGTCGGACCCGATGTTACATGATCACGGAGGCACCGCCTTACTTTACCACTGGGGCAATAACATGTAAAAGCTTTATTACTGATTTACCTTCTAATGCATGACTGATGTCGTTCAGCATTGAGCCACTTCATTTAATCATGGTCTGAACAGGCTTCAAACTTCATCTCTATCTTCACTGTCCTTCTGCTCTTCTCCTCCCTGAGCCACTTTGCTCCCGTGAGGCTCCTTCCCTTTGCCTCCGGATGCACGCCGCCGCCTTTGAATGTGTCCAGCAGTCTGGAGAGCGCAATCAAACATGCAGCTTGCATCACGCCCGCAGTGACACGCAAAGTCCACCCGGGGGCAGTAAGCGACCGCGTGGTTGTTTGTTTCATACAAACCCACGAGAGACGTCAACTTCCTGTCATCCCAGAATGAAATACACTGACTGAGTGCACATAAACACAAATAAACAATAACGTAGAACTTCTCAAAATCCCCAAAACTGGGGACCTTTCAAAGTAACCGAATCAAAAGCAACCCAGCAATAATTACAGCAAAGAAAAGAATAAAGTGAAACAACCACACGGATCCTTTTATGCTGTTAAATCCAACGAGGCCCCACCGAGTGTGTGCACATGCATCTGCCGTGTTATGTGTGTGTGTATGAGCGTGTGTGTGCTGATTCCACGCGTGTGTGTGTGTGTGTTTGGCAGCCCGATTTGATTAAAGTGACGTTCAGCCCATGTTGCCGTGGTAACCTCCATTAGTCGCTGCTGAGCGACGAGCTGCGTTCAGCTGAAGGCGTCTTCTAGGAGACGATGCAGAGCGGCTCGTTGCTTCCGGCCAATAAAGTTTCAGTGTTTGAATGTCTGAACGACCTCTGACCTCAAGTAGGGCTGCAACAACGAATCGATAAAATCGATTAAAATGGATTATTAAAAGTGTTGGCAACGAATTTCATTATCGATTCGTTGTGTCGCGCGATCATTACGTCACTCAATGAGTTGCGGAGATGCGCGCGGAGCAAAAATTGAAATAAAGGCGGCGAGCCGACGTGGAGGAAAGAGCAGCCGGCGGTTGTTGTGAGTCACGTGACGCAGGGAGAGACGTCTGTTCGACTGGTCGTCTAAGGGGTGCGAGCGTGGGGGGTCCCGGTCCACGTTGTCCCGTTTTGACGTGAGGGACGTAACGAGCCTCCTGTTTACTCGTCATCCAGCTGATCAAGCTAGCGTTAGCTCGCTAATAACAGCAGTAAAGCAGTTAGCAAGACTAAGACACGTTTTCATTTACTCGCCTCTTTTGGACCTTTCATTTTTCAATGTGTTGTCTGATATTTTGTGCTTTGTCCCATATCGGTTATTGTTGACAAATATATTTGTGTGTGTTGTACTTTTTAACGCTGTCATTTACGGTAGTCCAGTGTGCTTGCGCATATACTGTGGGTTATACGGTAGTTGATGTTATGCCTGTAAAGGGAGACACTTAGTGTTCCATTAAATCAACTAAGAAGCCTCTAATGCATTTATTTACAAATGCCTTTTTAAATTCATCTCATAGCACTTGGTTGTTTTTTAGCTGTATGCATTTACTTAACTTGCACTACAATGATGGTAATAATTTAATGAGTGAACATGAGGGTGTGTTTGTGAGTGTAGTATAGAGAACTAGTGCTGACGAATTTGAGCTTCTGTTTTAGAATAAAGGGTTGGAAATTAAATCTTTTTAATGCTGTTTTTTTTTAATCCGATTCATCGATTAATCGAAGAAATAATCGACCGATTAATCGATTATCAAAATAATCGTTAGTTGCAGCCCTAGTTTCAAGGTCACAGATGAACTTTGTCTTTGTCTTTCAACTCTTTTCAAAAACGCTATTGATTGTATTGATATTGTTCAGCGTGAGTGAAGAATACTCCATTGACCATCAACTGGTCGCTGTACAGAACATGCGTTCTCATCGTGGTGGCTCAGTAGTTGAAGTCCTGCCGGCCGATGCGAAGCCGCTTGTGATACCCGGGACTCATGCAGTCGGAGGCCGGTGGTCCTGGAGAGAATGCTGCTTTCTACGGGTGACTTTCTCTTTTTCTCTGCTCCCGTCGGTGCTTCTCACCCTCTGCCCGGCCGTGTCAAGTTAACAACCCCAGACAAGGATAATTCCTCGACTCCCTCTGTGGTTTACGTCTCGCCTCTGCTCTTCCCTCTTTCACCGCACCGCTCGCTCCCTCGTCATTCGTCCGTGCGTCTCCCACTGCTCTGTCTCCAGCGTCTTCTTCTGCCGCCCAGTTATCTTTCTGTCCCTCATTCATCTGTTCATCTCTCCGTCTAAGACGGATCAATCTGCCTCTCTAAGCGACCAGACGTCCCTCCGACTGTCCTCTTCTCTCCGACCGGACCGTCTCCGCCTCTCCCCATCTGTGCCGGGTAATTAGACTGTGGCCATCGTTTCATTCCTTCCTCTCTAACCGTCCGTTCCCCTCGTCCTCCACAATGCGTCATGTATGAACACCAGCGCGTGTTCTGCTTGGCGTCGTATCTGGGATCCGTCACAGTCCGGCAGCGTGTGTGCACATAAGTAATACGAGCTGGTTGCATGTTACGCTCAGAGGACGTGAGGCTACCAGCATCTCCTCCAGGTGTCTAATGATTAAAAACACACTGGTCAAAATATAAAGACAGAAGAACGGTGAGTTAGAAAGCAATAAACCCTGATTCTCCTCTTTCCACCCTCTTCCTCTGCCTCCTTTAATTCGTGCAATTACACAAACGTCTGTCTCCGTCTCGGCCGTCCTTCTCTGTGTGATCACTCAAAAACGGTAGGGAATATATTTGTCTAACAGTGTAGAATGTGTTTTCACCCGTTGGTATAATTTACATAAGGAGATAAAGTCGATTGGCAGCCTCCCCTCAAGTCTTTAGTCCGCTTCCTTTCCACGCTGGACTAAATTTAGGACCTTATTGTCCTCTGTCCTCTAACACCCTTCATTATCTGCTCCCGTTTGACACGACGTGTGACGGTAGATTCTGCGTGATGCATGTTTCTCTCTGACACGCGTGTTCCATGTCACCAGGTGTCTCGGACGGAGACGGGCACGGGACTGAACGTGGTAAACGGGTCCCCCGTCCCTCATCTGGACACAAGGTCAATAAGAGCTTCAATGCAAAGAGGTTCTCTCCGTCTGTCTTTCCTTTGTCTCTGTCAACGCCTCCCTCCTCCTGCTTCTCCTCCTGCTGACCTCCTCCTGCTGCTGACCTCCTCCTGCTGACCTCCTGCTGCTGACCTCCTGCTGCTGACCTCCTCCTGCTGACCTCCTGCTGCTGACCTCCTGCTGCTGACCTCCTGCTGCTGACCTCCTCCTGCTTCTCCTCCTGCTTCTCCTCCTGCTGACCTCCTCCTGCTGGCCTCCTCCTGCTTCTCCTCCTGCTGACCTCCTCCTGCTTCTCCTCCTGCTGACCTCCTCCTGCTGACCTCCTCCTGCTTCTCCTCCTGCTGACCTCCTGTCTGCTGACCTCCCCCTGCTGACCTCCTACTGCTTCTCCTCCTGCTGACCCCCTCCTGCTATTCTCCTTCTGCTGGCCTCCTCCTGCTGACCTCCTCCTGCTTCTCCTCCTGCTGAACTCCTTCTGCTGATCTCCTCCTGCATCTATCTCTTTTTTATCTTCTGTCTGCTGACCTCCTCCTGCCTCCTCCTCCTGCTGACCTCCTGTCTGCTGACCTCCTCCTGTCTAATGCTCCTCCTGCTGACCTCCTCCTGCTGACCTCCCCTGCGTGCCTCCACCCCCTGACGCCGATATTGGCCCAGACCCTGTCCCCGATCCCCAATCATCGCCACCAGTCTCTCATCAGGAGGGGACAGCTCCGGTCAGTGATGTCCACACCGTGTCCTCCAAAGAGCATCTTACGTCTCCTTCCCACCTCCCCGATGATCATCTCCACTTCACACTGAGTGAAGTTACGTTTCTTCGTTTTCCTCTCAGTGTTTGTCATGATTTTGTCATTGATGAATATTAATTTGTGGGCGTTCCACAGACTATATATGGGCAACTGTGGGCGTGGCATGAAGCCGCAAAAGCTGCGCTGCGTTTAGAAGTGATTGTGATTTATTAAGGAAAAACTGCGTAGGACGTTTTATAAGTCTGAATGTTTCTGTGCGTCCGCACGTCCTACGTTTCATCCGTACGACACTTCTGGCGCAAATCCTACGCAGGGTTTTATAAACGAGGCCCCTGGTCCTTGAAGCCTCCACGTGTTGATGTGTGTGTGTGTGTGTGCTTTTTGTATTGTGTGTCCTTGCACTACTTCAAACATCTCCAACTCCTGAGTATTATAAATGACACAAAGTACAGCAGCTTCATTCAGTGATGTCGTCTACTTGACCCACCTTGAACGGAGCGCTTGAATCAGAGCGGACAGGTGTGTGTGTGTGTGTGTGTGTGTACCTGTACACGGTGGTGGGCGGGTAGTTGGCGATGTCGTAGATGAGGCGGATGTGTCCCTGGTAGAGCTCCAGAGCCAGAGGGTCGTGGTCCTCCTTGTACAACAGGATCCCGTTGTCTTTGTCCGTGGCCACCTGGGGACGAGCAGAGACGCCACGTGTTAGCGCGACGCCGATCGGTGAGTCGTGGAACGTGGAACGTGGTTCCCCCTCAGGCAGCGTGGGGGAAACCCTCCTCAGACTGTTGGGATCAGGATTATGTGATTTGCTGTTTGACGTGACTCGGTAAACGAGTCACGTTTCGTTAGTCTCACACTCGAGGAAAGTGACACAAAGCCGCTGCCTTCGAACCGGTTGAGTATCTGATTTCTCTTCACAGTTACTGTCATAACTGGTAATCTTCACTTCCCTGTTTAAAACATCTGCTTCGCTCATCGAGGACGTTGCCGACATCACCGTGGCTACACCGCTGACCGGAATCATGGGATACGGTTTGCAGACTATGAGGAAGGGGAACGTACACGTTCTCTTTTATTTTAATGCTGTTATCCAAGTCATCAGAACTCCCACATTTGAGGAGAAAACACAAATCTACAAGTTGGGTTTGGGTTAGTCAAACTAACACGCTTACGCATTGAGCTCCCAAGGACATAACTGCACATGAACACGATAATTAAAAGCACTTGAGTTACGTCGTCCTATAACATAAATCCTCGTCCTTCCCCCAATGCTGCTCTACTTTATTATGCAAGTGAATCGACGACTTGCTCTTTGTTCTTCCCTTCATAACATTATCTTGCTATTAAAGTGAAATATGTGGCGAGATGCTTTGTCTTCTGCTGGCTACACTTCATGTTGTCCAAGCCTTGGAAAACCTGCACAGCTTCTCACACCTGCAGAGCACAAACATGCAGCGCAGGTCTTCTTCTGTAAACACAAATACAAACCATAGACTCACAACACAGTTGTGTTTTATCTGTTCGCTGGTGCACTTTATTTTTGACTTATCCCTTTTTTTTAATTGTTTATTCCATATCCCTGCAGGCCACAGCCTCATATTGTATTTCATACTGTAAATCAATTTGTCGATTTAACATTTTCTTGCACTATGTGGTCGTATCTGTCTTGTTGTCCGTTGTCTTACTGTCCGATGTGACGCACCAAGTCAAAAAGGTGCAAGCCAATGGTGCACAGCCAAGTCAACACCTGCTAACAAGCTGCTGAGAGGAGCAGAGAGTCACATGTAGAAAAGAAAACATCTGTGGTTTATGAAGCGCTGTGGCCCTTTGTTACATCGCGTCATCACGGCCTCTGGCTAGACACACACACACACACACACACACACACACAGATCCAAACAGGTGGTAAATATCAATTAGTCTGCGCTCCTTTTTCTTGTTTCCTCTTCGCTCACTTACACTCTCATTTCCCAACATGGAGGATTTCCAAACATGTCCGTGGTCAGGACATGCGTCTCAGATGTCTCACGTGTGCTGCATTCATCTACGTGTGCGTGTGCGTGGGAACAGAGGCCTGAAGCAGATGTGGGAAAGTTCCCCAAAGGTTTGATTGAGATTTGAGAATATTGCTTTTTGTCCTCCTGAACGTTGTCATGTCTAAGAGACACTTACAGAACCGAAAGAGGTCAAAGGTCGCAGCGGCCGTTACCTGCAGTGAAATATGCGCCGTGGGGCGGAGCTTGGCGCTCGGCAGCTCCACGTACCCGTCCCGACCCAGGAAGTGAACAGTGGCGATCTTGTCGCATTTGCTGCCGTAGAAACCGGGCATGCAGCGGCAGACGGGCTCCCCGGCCACCACCAGGCACTGGGCGCCGTTCTGGCAGTCCGATTGGTCGCAGGGGCTGGTCTGCAGCAGAATCATGGGCGGGGGGTTCTCACAGAACAGCCCGCTGGGGGGAGGAGCAGATCGCACAGGTTACACATCTATTCATGACCACGAAATAACCTCTGACCATCTTCAAGTCAAGTGTCTGCTGATGGAGCTGCATCTGTGTCTCCTCCCTGTCTGGCCCTGCAGCGTGTCACTGTGTGCGTGTGTGTGTGTGTGTGTGTGTCCGTTGTGCGTCTCACCTGAACCCCTGTTTGCAGACGCAGGTGTAGCCGTTGACGGCGTCCACGCACTGCGCTCCGTGTTGACACTTGTTCTCCAGGCAGTCGTTGTAGTCCTGCTCACAGTGGCGTCCCACGTAGCCCGGCAGACACTCACACCTGCACGGGGGGGAGGGGGGCGGAGTCATGATGGAGTCATTTAGAGCACGACGGCGTCCTATTCACAACAAACAACACGTCCCTCTAATGCCTCTTAGAACTGAACCCTGAATCCTGACAAGACGCTTCGGTAACCTGAGCAGGGTTGTAGAATTGTACATGACGTACACGTGAAGTGGGAGCAAGAAGCAAAATATGGAAACTTTTAGTTTGAGGACTAAACGCTTAAGAGTGTTGCCACGGTTACGGAAAGCTAAAAGCTGCTTGAATGCATCAACAGAAGAAAACATCCACAGTTGGAGGAGCACTATTTGTGCGACTGAAAATACAGTACTGAGGGAAAAAGTGCAGCACATCTGATAGACATGCAAATAGAAGTCGAGGGATTGATAGTGTGACAGTCGACAAAGCCTCCAACAGCCCGCAGTGTGTGTCTGTGTGTGTGCGATGAAAAAGTCAGCTTTTAACATTTTGACTCGCCGCTCCCGTCACTTTCTGCCATGTGACCTCTGACCCCGGCGAGTGCTGACCCCCTGGCGGAGCTGTCACTCACCTGTAAGCGCGGCCAACGTGGACACACTTTGAGTCGTGCTGACAGGGGTCGAAACCACGGAGGCAAGAATCAACCACCTCGTCACACAGGTCACCTGAGGACGCAGAGACAACGTACATCTGTGTGCGTTTCAGAGGACACGAGGACACGTTAAACCCGAGACGTTCCAGGTCAGCGCGGCTACTAACTGACCCTCCAGGGAAGTGAAGATGTGATTGTGTGTGTGTGTGTGTGTGTGCAGTAGGGGGGGGGGTACCTGTGTAGTTGGGGGGGCAGACGCAGGTGTAGTTGTTGACACCGTCGATGCAGGTGGAGTTGTTCTCACAGTCGTTGTCTTCACAGTCGTCCGGGTTCATCTCACAACGTTGGCCCTCGTAACCTGGAGGACACACACAGCTGCACACACACACACAACGTGCATTAGATGGTGATCTGAGCGCGCACACACACACACACACACACACACACAGACACACACACCACAGGCTCAGCTGAGTACCTGAAGTGGTCTTCGTTGCCAGGCGGGACGTGGCAGGTTCCTCCGTGCGAGCAGGGGAAGCTAACGCAGGCGTTGATGGGCGTCTCACAGCGTTGACCCTGACGGAGAGGACGCCGATGAAATGATTGACATTTGGACATTTGGATGTTTCCCTTTCGAGAGGACATGTCCCTGTTTGAACAAGGTCACTTCTGCGAGCAGTGAGCGACCATTAGCTGCTGAGCTCTCCCTCCCTGGATCCACCTGGAGACCTCCTCGGACTTCTCGCTTTGTTCTCTGCTGCTCCTCCTCCGCTTCCACTCACACGCTTTAATGAACGCCGTCCCGGTGGACACAGACAGGAGAGGACGCGGGTGAACATGCACGAGCACGTGCGCGCGCACGCAGTCTGTGACCTTGGAGAGGGATGTTTTAATTAAAAGCGCGACTAAAGCTTTGTGCGCCTGTGAGAGCGCGAGGTGTGTGTGCGCGCACGCGAGACGATAAGAATGTCTTTAGACACACACACACACACACATGGACACGCATATATTACGCGCACACACACACACACACACGGGCGTTAAATGCAAATGGCCGCCTCACGAGCGGATCCGCATGCGTTTCCTGACGCAATTATCACGCCGTGGGTCTTTAGATCAACAGCATCCAGCAGCCGGCTGCCGTCATCAGTCTATTGATCAGATGCTCCGTGCGTGCGAGCCGATCACCCTGATCCTCTGGAGGTGTCTGAGGCCGTGTCCCACCTTGAATCCATACGGACAGGTGCAGCGGTACGAGCCAGCTGCTTCCGCCACACAGGTGCCGTTGTTTAGGCAGGGAAGTGCGAGGCAGGGGGCGCACTTTGACATCAGGCTGACGTCTACTGGACCTGAGGCAGAAAGCAGAGGTGAGTTGAGGGGGGGGGGGGGACGGCTGTTATGTGCTGAAAGTCTCCGTCCCAGACTCCACTGAAGCGATGTGTCCTCCAGCAGGAGGAGCGTTTGATTGAGGACAAGGACATGAGGACAAGATCCACATTTCCAATGTGCTCAGAAGAAGGTCGCCAAATTCTCTACACACATGTGGGAGCCTTCAGTCATGCGAGTATCTGAGGCTGGAATAACGAGTGAGGGGTGCGTGCTGACGAGGACGCTACGCACCTTTACACTGAAAGCGGTTGAGCGGCGTGGTGAGCAGCAGCCGGTCGGCCATGTCAGGCGGCCCGGAGCAACGAGCGATTCCTGCAAAAAAACACACAGACCACACCTCGACACGTCAGCGACACGTGCTCACGTCCTCGCGTGAGACGCGGCGGCGGCGTGAACGTTCTCCGTCGTACCGGGCTCCTTGAAGCCAGCCTTGACCCACTGAGACAGCCAGCGCAGCTCGCAGTTACAGTAGAGCGGGTTGGCGCCGAGAGCCCTGCAAACACACGGCGGAAAAGTGAGAAGCGAAGCATCCGACGGCCTTCCGCACACAAACGGGTAGCCGGCGGCGGCGGCGGCGGCGGCGGTGGGGGTGGTGCACTTACAGGTGGGACAGAGCGGTGAGGTGGTTGAAAGCTCCTTCCGGTACGGTTGAAAGGTCGTTGCCATGGAGAGTTCTGCAGGAGAGAATATTCAACACTTGTGTCGGGTTTCTTTTGAGGAATGACTTTGACCAGCGACTTGAGGTCACGCTCCTCTTTCTCGTTACTTCGCCGGCGCCGGCATCGACTGGCCGCTCTTTAACTCACGGCTCTCTCTTACAACCGACGTCCCAACAAACACGCTGCTTTGTCTCCATCATCTCAGGCGGAGTGGAGCTGACAGCCGGGCTGCAGACTAAGCGCTCCAGCGCCGACTAGCTGCACGCTAAATTATTTAAATCGTTTGTGGTTCACCCAGCGGCGGACTCGCCATCAGCCGCTTCGATAATGGAAAATAAATAAAATATTTATGAAAAAAATAACACTAAATAAACAGAAAGCTTATTTTCATCGCTTGTGGAAAATATGCTCTCATGTGGTCATCGGGCCGAGTATGGCGCCGGTGTGTGTGTGTGTGTGTCTGTGTGTGTGTGTGTGTGTCAAGGGGACAAACTGCAGGCTGTGATGTGTATCGGTGTGAGCGTGCTCATTTCTCTTTTCTGCCTTTGGGGGTTTTTCTGTGCGTGTTTGTGCGCGTGTGAGTCTACGTGTCACGATGTGTGTTCCAGACTTTCGTCTCCAGGGGCTCAGCCTGCAGACTGTGTGTGTGTGTGTTTGTTGTGTTGCCTGCCGGATACACGTTACATTGCATCGGAGCAAAGGGCTGCAGCAGGAGACGGCCATCAAAACAACACTACTGGAAAAGGGTGTGTGTCTTTTGTGTGCATAATTCAGCGCATGTCGGGCTCAGTGTGTAGCACAGAGCCCGACATTTGTGTCTGTCTGCATCACGCCGTGTGTTCACACGTGCATCTGACCGCGCAAAGGCCGGCCCAGAGGGGTTTGTGGGTAATGAGGAATCGACAGCGCCGCGTTGCTTGAGGGATCGGTCCCGACGGCGGCGCCGACCGAAACGACAGGAAGGAAAACAAAAGACGCCTAAAGTTCTCAAAGCTCTCGTCGATGTCCGGGGGGGGAAAAGGACACACACGAGTCTGACCTCCCACGGAGTCTCTCTACGGAGAACACAGTCAAAGTCTCTCCAGTCATCGGTGCGTCGGGGCGAGGCTGACTTCCTGCTGCCACCGACATTCTGACCGACGGGGATTCAAGTTCTCGCATCGCTGCAGTGACGTGCAGCTGCCCTGTTAACTTACAATTAAAACCACACTGCCAGTAACTCTGCCGTCATTGAGCACTGTGTGTGTGTGTGTGTGTGTGTGTGTGTGTGTGTGTGTGTGTGTGTGTGAGGGTCAGACAGAAACATTCTTTGTTCATGCTAATCATTACGAGATGAGTGAGGGCTCCAGATGGATGTCAGAGAGAGACAGAGACTGTGTGTCGTTTCGTCAGACAGTCCGTTTGTGGGAGCGAGAGAGAGAGAGAGAGAGAGAGAGAGAGAGAGAGAGAGAGAGAGGGGGGGAGAGAGAGAGAGAGAGAGGGAGAGAGGGAGAGAGGGAGAGGGAGAGAGAGAGAGAGAGAGAGAGAGAGAGAGAGAGAGAGAGAGAGGGAGGGAGGGGTAAAGAGAGATTGTCACTTTTCTCTCTTTCGGGGGGCAGAGACTTTTTCTGTAGGTGGGTCTTGTTACTGGAACCCGGGGGAGCGATTTGATTGGCAGGCTGAGCGTCGCATGTTGAGTCCACGTGGAGAAGAAGCTACTCACAGCAGGCGCAGGGACTTGAGCCCGTCGAAGGCGTGGACCGGGATGCAGCGGATCTGGTTGTAACTCAGGATGCTGGAGGACAGAGGACACCAACGAGGTCACACACACACACACACACACACACACACTTTGTGACTGTCAGCGATATCATCATCTTGTCTTTGCTCGTTCAGGTGAGGTCGTCCTCGTCTTTGAGAATCCATCCCGATGACTTAAGATGAGTGTGGAGATACAGAAGAGGGAAGCACGAGAGATGACGCGGCACATCTGAGATGTCAAAGCGCTGAAGCGCCCCTTGTTGAAGCCACTGAAGCTTCAAAAAGGGGCAAATAAACATGAAGGTCACGACAAACAGGACGATGCTCCCACGGCACATGAAGGTTCTTCTCTCTCTTCTAGAAGGACTAATAAAACATACAGTTTGCTAATAACAAAGGGAAATGAGTAATACGGTCGGATGCGTTTTAGGTTTCTTAGTTCTACCACGTGATGATGCTTTATCCTTAAAGCAGCAGCAGCCTGGAACATCATGAGCATCGTGAGTCTCTCATGAGTCCTCAGTGCCGATCATCGTAATGACCTATCGACCTATCGATTAATCCCTGCATGGTTATGGGATAATTATACTTCTCTCTGTGCTTGGGCGTTAAACAAGCATCCACTGATGCTAAGCTAACAGTAACAGAGGAAGCTAACAGAGGCCTGTGCAGAAATATAACAATGGGCGTAGCTGGAAAAAATCCATATACTTTCCCTAAAAAAATCACCAAAATTTATGTAAATTGAAGTTAGAGAAAATAAAGAATGAAAGAAAAAAATAGGAGACAAATCTGCTATAATAGACACGTTAGCACGGCAGAGTGGCAGCGAGGTGCTGAAGGGAATTTATATTGTAATTCAACAGACACAACCGGTGAGTAGCGGAGAAGCAAAAGGACGATTGTGAAAAGAATAGGAAGGTAGAAAGTAATTTGCCACACGTTAGCAAAGAGATGAACGAGAAACGAGTCAAAGAGAAAATACACAAAATGCTTGAAATGAGAGCGAGGCGAGAAAAAAACCAACAGGGAGAAGAGTGATATTCAGGGTCAAATTAGGACAGAATTGGAAAAATGAGGATAAGAAAAGATGAAGACGAGAAATGGGAAAAGAAAATATGGAGAAAGAGGCCGAGAAGGAGAAAACATCTATTTATCTTGTGTTTCTTAACCCTGAACCCATGCGTGGATGGGTGGGACGGGTGGCGTTGCCATGGTAACTCACAGTGTGGCTAGTTGAGTCATGTTGCTGAAGGTGAAGGGGGCCAATATGCTGATGCTGTTGTTGCTCAGGTCCCTGTGCAGATACAAGGATTCAGTGCACACACACGCACAAATGCACAAACAGATGCAAAGTGTCCGCTTGCAGATGTGTGTATTCAAGGTTATCCGAGAGGCTCTTACACCAACGACAGCTGCCTCAGACCTGCCAGCTCCTTGGGCACATACGCCAGCATATTACCCTCCAGGTATCTGCAGGGAAAGCAGCAGAGTTCATGTTCAATCTATTAAATATATAAATCTCTATATATGTATATATATACTGTATATTAATACTCAGATAAAGTCCTGCGGGGCGAGAACATTTTAATATAGAGCGGCGAAGGTAAAAAAGGAGAAGTGAATCGTGGTGATGTGCACTCTGTGAACGTGATAAGCTACACATTTAAGAGTGAAACGAATAAACTAAAAGGTCAGATGAGAACACAATCGATATCATTTAGCGTAAAGACAAACCAGCAGCGGTTAAAAAACAAAAGTTTATTCCCTCCCACCCTGGTTGCCTGGCAACATCACAGTGAACTCTGCTGGCTGTTGGTAAAAGATAAAATGCTTTTTTGTGTAAAACCACAACCTGCGTTACAGTTGCAGAGCCGGGCCAGCCAGTCTTCATGCTAAGCTAAGCTAATCATCCCCAGCAACCAAGCGTGCAGACATACAACCTCCCCTCACGGATGCCTGTGTGGGTGAACTTTTATGATCCATTAGCTCCCGTCTCTCTCGGGTCAGAAGTAGGTCATGTGGACAGTATGATGGAGTGTCTTCTTCAGCCTGATCGATACCTAATCACTGCTATTGACCCCGCGGAGCCGACCTATTTCACAGCCTGAGGGCTTCCTGCGACTCTCCTCCCCTACGACAGGTTGCGTTCCCACTTTGTTCCAAATGTCCTAATCTCTATTAAACAGAGTTTTACTCTCATAGCACTTCTAACAATGACTTTGTATTAGACATTTCCTTTACCGGTCTTCATTACACACCACGTAGCAGCTGGCAAATACATAAGTAATACTTTCATTTTCTCTCTAGTGAACGTTATGGTAAAGCTGTGTGCGTTGCTCTCATTCCCTCGGCGTGTGTCCCTTGCGTTTGTGCGTCTTTGTGCGCGCGGGACTCACAGCTCCGTGGTGTCCTTGGGGACGCCTCTGGGCAGAGAGTGCAGACCTCTGTTGCTGCATCGCACCACGCCGTCTGTGCACGTGCAGACGTCCGGACAGCCGGACGAAGGAAGGCAACCGTTATCCTCTGCACCTGAAGGGGGGGGGTGGGGGGGGGCACAGAGTGGGACATGAGTCAGAGAGGACGAGGGACAACGACGTAGGACCTCAGGGACAGAGGGATGCTGAGGGGTCCAGGGTTTGCGTGCTGTGGGGAGGAAGGTTTGCCTGATTAAGGAACTTTTCAGAGCGTTGGTGGTGCAGTGATGCGTCGGCACCGGGTCCCACTCCTAGAAAAGGGATTCTCATCACACACTTAATGTAACCGGCTCCATCACGCGTTCACATCTATGTCTGTGCAGCTCAGTGCGTTTGAAGGTAGATGAGTGTGTCTGTGTGTGTTTGAGATGAGAAAATGAATATTAAGATCTGATATCATCCCACGGTTTCCCGGCCGAACAGGCCAACTACTTTCCATACTCGTTTTCAGTAGATGCTGCACGGCTGCGGGAAATTAGAAAAGTGTAATAAATCTCCAGGAGCTCATGAGGGAGATGGGCGCTGGGACAAGAGGAGATTGAAATAGTTTAAAGTGTAAAGCCATTAAGAAAGAAAGAGGGAGGAAAAGAAACAAAGAGGTAATCGACAGCGGAGCCAGACCGCACTTTTGTCTGCGGCGCCATTCGAGCGCCAAAAACCAAACCATACGTTGCAGTAATCAGCCATCGCGGTGGTAACAGCACCGTCACCGTGGAAACCACAGGCTGATGTCATCCGCGGTGTCCCGGCGGCTACCGTCACTGTGTCCTCACAACACCCCGCGACTCTACGTGTGTGTGCGTGTAAGGAAAGTTTGACACAAAAAGAGTCAAACTCCACAAAAATCCCCTTTCAGAAGATTTCATTGATGTAAGGGTGAGTTTGCTGGGAGAAAAAAGGCTCTCTTTGGGGAGTAAGGCCACTTATTGTAATAATTGAAATGGTATTCTCTGGGGAACTGGTGCTTCCCGACAGTTAACAGCTAAACGTAGTGCGCCATCGCCGGGCATAAAACAACCTCCTCCGCGTTCCCTCACACGGAGCGGACCGACGCTGCGCATCTCCAGCTGTTCCTGTAACGTCGTTCATTGCAGGAGGATCGGCTCACCGTCGCACGTGAAGTCCGGCGAGGCCACGTCCTGGATGGGGATCTCCTTCAGGAAGGCCGGCTTCTGACAGCGAGGGTTTCCACTGACCACCCTCGTCTTCTTCAGCCACTGGCCCAGCCAGGCCAGGTGGCAATCGCACACGTACGGGTTGGACAGGAGGTTACTACGGCAACAAGGAGGGACAGGCACAAAGACAGGGAGGGGGAAAGCCTCTTTAACGGGCTCACCGGCTAAAATAAAAGACAATGAGTGAAATAAATAGGTGTGGAACAAAGGGGAAGGAAGAAGAAAAGGTCATCAGGTGATTTTATCCAGAGAGAAGGAGAATGGAAAGGAAAAACGTTGTGAAAAAGGGAAAGATAAAAGGTCATCGGTGCATTTGATCCATTCCTGATCACCTTTCATTGCATCGTGTTGCTTCTGTGGCACAGCTCATGTAATATTTATGCTGATACTCAATGGGGGCCCGAAAGGCCTCAGCAGCACATACCGGCTCATTTTATTCTGCTTTACATTCAATGTTGTTGACAATGACGAGTACTTTAGAAGGTATATGAATGTACTTTCACTTATTGACTGAACATATAAAAGAAAAACCTTTGTGACACAATCGTAAGAGAAATCTTTTTAATGATGATGGTGACGAGTGGCTGTTTCTCCTGAATGTTGCTGTTTTTAATGGTGTTCTGCTGCAGACGCGCTGCTGTAATGAATGGACCTTCACCGCCTGGCACGCTAAAACAACGTGTTAATCTTTTAATTAAACGGGTAAACTACTGGGAAACAATGCACGACAAACGCAGGAAGAGGAGAAAACAGAGACGAGATAAGGAAATGAACAGAACGGTGGAAATAACACAGTGATTGTGTTGCATTAACGATCAAGTACTGCGAGAAAGAAAGAAAAATCATCACGACACAAAAATCACCAACAGCCCGCTGAGCAAAGCTGGGTTTACGTAACGATGCTGAAAACCCTCCACCCTCGATCCAGCCTGCGCCCACCGTCCACCCTTTATACACACTCGATCCTCTCTCCATCCTCCATCCCACCTCCATCCACCTCCCCAGCCTGTATGCACCCTCCATCCTCCATCCAGCCTCCATCCACCCTCTCACCTTCAATCCATCCCCAATCCTTCCCGCACTCCTGCATCGAACCTCAAGGTTCTATTCCTCTCACACATCTCTTCCTCCCTTTATTCACCCTCCATTCTATCCACCCTCCTCCCTCCATCCCACCCTCCAGCTACCATCCCTCCACCCTTTTATCCACCCTCCATCCATCCACCATCCTCCCTCCATCCTCCATCCACCCTCCAGCTACCATCCCTCCACCCTTTATCCACCCTTTATCCATCCACCATCCTCCCTCCATCCTCCCTCCTCTCCCGTGTCCCCATTTCCTCTCTCTCCTCCCAGTAGGAGTTTGGATGGAAGGTGGCAGGTGCACAGCAGGACACGGAGAAAGAACAAAAGGGAGAAGAAGAAAAGCTTTTTTTAGGTTTTACTCGGTACGTCTAAAAAAAACTATAAAAGAATCCACATGTAATGTTTTATAAAGATGAAAGAAATCTATTATTTACAACAAGAAAACGCGAAAGTTCCTTCATGGCCGTCGTTTCTGTACGTTTGTGCGCGTCACCTTCACACGAATCAAAGCATGTAACCTGCACACACGCTTACACGCCAGAAACACACAGCCACCCATGAAGTCATCGCAGCAGGTGTTTTTCCATCTTCAAGAAGATTAAAAAACAACCGCAGATGCTCTTGTGTGTGTGTGTGTGTGTGTGTGCAGATGCTGAGATTTATTTAGATTTGATAACGTTCTTAGATCGAGACCAGTTTCGTCGATAATGATGGAGAGAATCTGTGATTAGAACAGGGTCCGTAGAGCAACACGTGTGCAGATGTATGTGTGTGTGTGTGTGTGTGTGCGTGTGCGTGTGCGCGCTGCGTGGTGGATAACTCCCAAAGCGGCGCGCTGATGGAGGAAAGGGAAGGGCAGGAAGTGGGGTCGCCGGGGGTCACTCACATGGTGGACAGGGAGTGCATGGTGGAGAAGGCTCCCGGCGCGATGCTGCTGATGCGGTTGTCGTACAGCGAGAGCAGACGCACAGAGCTCAGGCCCGTGAAGGTGCCGTTGTCGATGCAGCTCAGCTGGTTGCTGCGCAGCATTCTGGGAACACACGCGCCAGTAAACCGAGCTTAGTAAACTTGACTTTACCCGAAAGAAGATTACAGCACAAACTCTGGAGTCTCGTGTTCCCATCTCATCGCTATCGCAGGCTAATGAAACCGTTTGTCTTTTTAGTTGGATAAAGAATTCAAAATGCTTCATGTGGATGAGAAGAGGGCAAGAGGATATAAGAGCACCAGCTGTAATGACAGAAAGCAGCGGTAAATCCAGAGTCTGCGTTTTGACATTAGCTCCTGACATGCGGCCATGTGGGACCAGGCTAACTGAGTTAGTTAGCATCAGCTATCTGCGGGCCGGGCTAACGTCGTTACCGAGGCTATTACTGGAGCCGCTTAACATAATACAGAGACAGCCATGATGCCAGAGAGTCATTAGTCGGCATGTACACATATATTTATATATATATAGCATCCACAGACAACATTAGCTCATGATTTCATAGCTTATTTATGGTGGGAGACTCTGTTCAGTCCCACCCAGGACACACAAACACACATCAGACTCACAGCGTCTTCAGGCCACTGAGGCCTCTACACATGCGTCCCTGCAGTCCTGTGAGCTTGTTCCCCGTCAGCAGCAGCTCCGAGACGCCCTCCGCTCCGTCAAAGGCACCGTCACGCACGTCCCTCAGCTTGTTGTTGCTTAAGTTTCTCGAGGAAGGACAAAGACATAGACGTTGAATTATTTTTGATTTAACTCCAATACCGGCGGGACATCTAGGTGCAGGGTAACAGCACGCAGACACATGTGATGTGTTTGTATGCGCACACACACACACACACACACAGAGCCACAATGTTCCCAGTTTAATTGCAATAATCAATCAGGTGGCTTCAATTAATAAATGTAAACTCTTAATATCCTCATCTTGTACAAGAGAGATAACAGCTCAGACTCATCACTGCAACACTACAAAGCGCACACACACACACACACACACACACACACACGGAACATGAGACGAGTTTCTCTCACATGATGAGAAGAATTTAAATGAAAAGGGAGCATTTGGCCACAGAGACAATAAGTTGGTCCGATGGCTTTCAGCACTGTAGCTTCATTCATAGCTTTGTGTTTCCTCTTCATGGAAGCTGAGAGGAGAGGAGGTGAAAGGAGATGAAAGGAGAGGAGAGGAGGTGAAAAGAGAGGAGAGAGGAGAGGAGAGGAGGAGCGGAGATGAGATGAGAGGAGATGAAAGGAGAGGAGAGGAGGAGAGGAGGAGAGGAGGAGATGAGAGGAGATGAGAGGAGGAGATGAGAGGAGAGAGGATGAAAGGAGAGGAGATGAGCAGAGAGGAGAGGAGGAGAGGAGGAGATGAGAGGAGGAGAGGAGGAGAGGAAATGAGAGGAGGTGAAAGGAGAGGAGAGGAGGAGAGGTAAAGAGGTGGATGGCAGACAGTTATAAAATGTGATGAATCAGAGCAAAGGAAAAGTAGCAGATGCAGGAATAAGGGAAATAAGAGGGTAGGAGAGAAGGAGATGAAGTAACGAGGGAAGGAACTGAACGAAGGAAAATGGAAATGAGCGTTGGCCAATCTATATCGTCAGTGACACTGCTAGATGGTTAGCAATTTCCTCTCCAATAAATCAACCTCTGTCTTTCTCTATCTGCCTGTGACACACACACACACACACACACACACACACACACACACACACACACACACACACACACACACACACACACACACACAAGCCGAGAGGAGGTTGTAGATAAGGAGTGACTGTAAATCTGAACCGAAGGCCCATCTTCTATTTCCATTTAATATTTTCTAGCACCCACCGGTCCTTCCTCTCCATCCCTCTCCTTGATTCCTCTTCGTTTCCTCACTCATGTGCCTCTAATTCTCACTTCTTCCCTCTTTCCTTGAGTGGTTTCTCACACTTCTTCTCTTATTTTCATCTAGTGCTTCCTTCCTTTCCTTCCTTTCCATTCTCTCTCTTCACTCCACTTCATCTCTGTTCTGCACAAAGTTTCATCCTTTTTTAATTGTGATTCCTTCATTCGTCTGTCAGCAATATATCCAACAGGGAACGACTCACAAAGAGCCTCTCCCATTAAAACAAGATTGTCGACCTCCTTTTCAGCGAATGAATTGAGTGAGTAAATGCATGAAGTAATGAATAAATGAATGCAAAAAGAATACGTACATCTTCTTCAGGTTTGGCAGCTTCTTAAACATCCCAGCAGGCTCCAGGACGGCAATCTCGTTGTCGTTTAACCGCCTGAAGGGAGAATGATGGAGGAATTTAGTTGGACATGAATTATAGAACATGGAACCAACTGGACCATCCAGACAAAACAACACGAGATGGAGAGACAGCATGAAGGTCAAGAGGCCTTTGGTGACCATTGAAGTATGACGTGCTGCAGAACCCTTAATTAAACATACTTTAGAAGAGAAGAGAGGAGAAGATGGAGAAGAGCAGTGAATCTTTTCTATGCGGTCATCAATGCCCACAATGCCCTGAGCCAGGGGAAAAAGCGCTCGGGAGGCAGGAAGCTCCACGTCTGCTTTATCGAGCTAATTTATACTAAAAGGACAAAGCGGAAAAAGGATGCTTGTGTGTGAGAGAGAGAGTGTGGACGAGGCAGAGTGAGAGAAATCGAGGAAAAGAGTGAAAGTTCAGCTGCAGGGGACAGCTTCTAATGAGACTCAGGGGTCTTTAGGTTTAGAGATCGACCCACCTGGATGAGGCCCAACAACACATTGCAAATTACCCGAGTGCAGATAAAACAACAGAATATCAAATAAAATATCTCTGCTGATGTAACTGTAAAAATGTATTGAATGCAAATAGTTCTTAAAACTGATTCACTCACAAGGTCAGTGTGAAAGGTTGATGTCAAAGAGAGTAAAACATATGAAAGCCTCGGATTCGCCCTGATAAGGCGGGTTGCACACTGGCTGTGTGTGTGTGTGTGTGTGTGTGGGGGGGGGGGGGGGGCATCAATAACGAGGTTTTGCTCGGAAGGAAAAAGGCGAGAAAAAGAGAGGGGAGTCAACAAAGTACAAACTCTGATCTGCCCTCTGACCAACCATAAAGGACACAGGTTACATTTGTGACATGAAGTATCTGGGGAAAGAACGAGAGAGGAAGCGAGGATGGAGGAGAGAAGGAGGAAGGGAGGATGGAGGAGAGAAGGAGGAAGGGAGGATGGAGGAAAG